GAAAATTTGAATACTGGTGGGTTTTGGGGGGAACTGGCCTTGACATTTTTTAGTTGTAGGTTCTGGGATTTAAAGTTCACCTACAATCAAAGAGCACTCTACACCCCACTGATGAGGAACCTGGACCTAACTTGGCACACAGAACCCCGATAACCAACTGAACGTACGGGAGGGATTTGATGGGACTGACCCACCATGGTGGAAGTTGTAATTCATCCTGCAACCCAAGAGCACACTGAACCCACCAGTGATGCATCTAGAGCAAACTTGCCCAGCATGACAAACTTTAAGCATTGATGGAGTTTTGGGGGGTTAACCTGGCTTGATGTGAGTTGTAGTTCACCCACAACCTCATGCATTTTGCAAAATAATAATAATAAAAGACTTCTTCTAATAACCTGGGCAACGCCGGGTACCCAAGCTATTATTATATAAAGATAAATTAAAGGTTTTCTTGTGATGTTATTATTGTTATGTTTATTGATACCCCACTTTTTCTCTCCATAGGGAGACTTGGAGAGGCAAAGATATGCTGCATCCCCATACACGTTGTTATTACAATTTGTGTATTTATCCTTATCTTTTATAAGGGGTTGGTTCAACCTCCGGTTTGCTAGTAAAACCGAAATTAGTTTACATCGACGCATGTTTTAAAAGTGTGTCATCCTCATGAAATGTTTGGAAAAGCCCTGTGTTAAGAGGTTATAAATGTTTATCTTAAACTGCTAGGGAAGAAAGAGGCCTCCAAAAGGAAGGAGCCAAATGCATTGGCCAAATGAGGGAACAATTCCATATTAACGAGCAGAGTGTTTCATCCTCTCCTTTCTCACTGATACTCTCTTGCGGGGCTAAGTGCGGATCCCTGAGCAAGTTTACAGGAGAGGAAGGAACAACTGCGCCCAATTGGCACAAACTCAGAGCTGGTCCTATGGCAAAACCCACAGAATAACTGCCTATCCCCTACATGTGAGCTTTATAGGTGAAACCTGCACCTTGTATTGGGACCGGAAACTTATCAGCAACCAGTGGAGCTGTTTAAACAGGAGGGTTGACCGCTCTCTGTAACTTACTCCAGTTAACCATCTGGCCACCGATCTTTGCACCAGCTGTAGTTTCAGAACCGTCTTCAAGGGCAGCCCTATGTAGAGTGCATTACAGTAGTCTAATCTTGAGGTAACTAAGGCATGGACCACCATGGTCAAATCAGACTTCTCGAGGTACGGTCGTAGCTGCGCACAAGTCTTAACTGTGCAAAGGCCCTCCCAGCCACCACCGACACCTGCGCATCAAGCGTCAGCGCTGAATCCAGGAGGACCCCCAGACTACGGACCTGTGTCTTCAGCGGGAGCGTAACCCCGTCAAACACAGAAGAATGTTTATAATTTGGCCCCTTCTGACTTTTAACTGTTTGGAACTCTGAAACCAATGACCTCACAACCTCTGAGGATGTTTGCCAAAGATGCAGGCAAAATGTCAGGAGAGAATGCTTCTAGAACATGGCCATATAGCCCGAAAAACTTACAACAAAACTGTGATTTTTTTTCCAAAAACGGTTTTGATGTCTGGGTTAAATGATGGCTCAAATGTGTACAAATTGATGGTGGCGACTATGTTGAATGGTAATTTTGCATAGAGGACAGTCCAGGCTATATTTCGTAGCAACTTTTGCTGTTATAGGTTCATTCATAACATTTTCGGGATAGGAGGTAAAACTTTTTGACCCACCATAGTATCTATGAGTATTCCTTGGCCTAAGAAAACCTTATGATAATGCATGGGATCTCCATAAATTAAGAAGCAACTTAAAGGCGCACTCGGGGATTTCTGCAAAGCCCAAAGCACAATACCATTATGTCTCTATCTCTCTCTCTCTGTCTCCCTTGGGTGCTTTCAATATTTCATAGCATTCTGGTTGGTAAAAGCAATCTGGCTTCCTTTCAGTGGGAAAGAACAGAAAGGGACACTGAAATTAAGACCTTAGCCTTGAGTGCATATGTGCCTTCAAATTCCCTGCTCAGTTTCGTGATCCTATGCATGTCAGTTCAAAGCAAATCCCAGCAAATACCTTCAAAGTATATCTTATCTACAGTAGAATGAATGTAGTTTGACATCACTTGAACTTGGTTCAATGCTAGGGCATCCTAGGGTTTGTATTATTATTATTATTATTATTATTATTATTATT